GCTAGGGAAGATTGATGCAAAGAAATACAGAGATCTCCAAGGAATACCACAGATGCTGAGAGGAGATAAGGACCTTCCCCCTAAACTATGAGCGACAGAGAGAGAAAGACTTCCCCTAGAGCTCATGCCCTGATTTTAGACTTCTAGCCTCCTCAACTGTGAGAGAATAAGTTTCTGTTTGTTAACCATCCAAGTGTGGTTTTGCTGTTATAGGAGCACTATATAACTAAGACAGAATGTGGTACTGATAGAGTAGAGTGCTTCTCTAGTAGATACTTAAAATATAGAAGTGGTTTGGGGATTGGGTAATGAGTAGGGGGGGGCTCTGGTAGCGTAGTGCCTAAGGCACTTGACTGCTAACCAGAAGTCTGACAGTTCAAACCCAACAGCCACTCCTCAGAAGGAAGATGAGGCAATCTACTTCTGTAGTGATACTGCCTCGGAAACCCAAGGAGGGGTCGCTATGAGTCAGGTCCGACACGACAGCATATAACAACAAAACAACGAGTAGGGGCTGCAAGACTTGGGGGGGGGGTGTGCATGTGTACTTCCTTTTTTAAAAAAATTTTTTACTGTGATTTGGGTGAAAATTTACAGAGCAAATTCATTTTCCATATAGTTTTTGATACACATTTTGTTTCATGACATTGACTGCAAGTTCCCACAAGGTAACAGTCCTCTTCCCTCCCACTTCTCCCTGTAGCTACCTTTTCCCTGTGTCCTTCCTTCCTATGTACTCCTGCCCCCTGGACTGTCTCCCTGTGCAAACACTGTCCTTCTGTTCTCTCACAATTGATCACTCTAAGGAGTGTATCTACCTCGTGTAAATGTTCACCCCATATGCCTGTCTGTTGTTTGGTTGGAAGCCACAGGAGTGAGTTCAGGGCCAGACCTGAAGGGTGGTAACTAGGGGCCATACTCTCGGGGTCTCGCAAGACTCTGTGAGACTAGTGAACCTGTTTTTTTTTTTTTTTTTTAATGATTTTCAGTTTTATTCCACATTGTTCTCCCACTCTATTCAAGATCTCCTGTGCTAATCCCTTTCCAAGTGGTTGACAGTGGTAGCCAGGCACCATCTAGTTCTGGTCTTATGTTGGTAGAGGCTGAGAATCACATGGCCTGCTAGTCCCTTGCACTAATTTTTTCCATGCATCTTTGATTTTCTTCATTCTTCTTTGTTCTGGATGAGGAGAGACCCATCGTTGCATCTAGATGGCCATTTCAAGTTTTTAAGACGCCAGTTGCTACTCACCAAAGAAGAATTTAGAACAGTTTTTGTGTGTGGTATATTATGCTAATTGAGCTTGATGTCCCCTGTGACCATGGTCCTGAGCCCACAGGTCCAACTACTCACTCCCTCAGGGTGATTGGCTGTGGCTAAGAAGTTATCATAACTTTGCCCCTTGTTAACTCTATAAGGCGGCTGGAAGATTTGACTGCTAACCAGAAGGCTGGCGGTTCAAACCCACGAGCCACTCCTGGGAAGGAAGGTTGGGCAATCTACTTCCATAGTGATACTGCCTCGGAAACCAAAGGAGGGGTCTCTATGGGTCGGATCCGACTCCACGACAATGGTTGCATAATAGCAAAAGCCTATATTGTCTTAAAGAGTCTGTTGGTGGAATTATAGATGTCAAAGGCAATTCTGGTGAGGGTTCAGAAGGAAATGAGGAGAGATGTAACACCAGAGATGGTGCAAATGGTGAGAAACAGCAGCACGGAAATGGTGGCAGCAGAACCAGGAACCATGAGAGCCAACCCACAGAGCAAGAGAGCTGAGTTCCTTCATGCAGGAGGCTTCCTGGCAGAGTGGGATGCCTCCAGGCACTTCTCAGTGGAGTTAGGCTTGCTGACCCACTGAGTGAGAGAGCTGAGTGCCTTCAGGCCAAGGCTTGCCAGCTGAGTGAAGTGCCTCCAGGCACTTATCAGTACACCTAAAGAATTTTGTTAACACTTGCTGGAGCAGGGCAGAGGCCAGCTGGCCTCTTCAAGAGACCAAGAAGCCAGGAAGCAGGAGCTGAAGAGACAAGGGGAATGGGAAGCATAACTCATCAGTCTCAAAGGTAGGGCCACGACCTCTGGAGTCTCAAAGTATGCAGCATGGCTTCTGAGATTTCTAAGAGTGGGGCCACAGCCTCCTAGGTTTCAGAGTCAGATCTTTGCCAACTTGGTTCCAAAGGGTGAGCCTGCCATTCATGAGTTCCAGGGGGTGGGGCTGGATCCTCTGGCCAATGTTGAGAGAGTAGACTCTCAGTTGGACTAGGAGAATAGGGCTGCCCATAAACCTAGGGAACAGAGTTGCTGTCCTAGTGGGCCTGAAAGGCAGACCTGTAACCCAAGGCCAAAGGACCTCTGACTTATGGCCATCCCATGTTTTTAAAATCATCCTCATGATTTTAATTCCAATTTCCCTGTTTACTAATGAGATAAAGCAACATTTCATAATTTATTAGCTGAATAATTTCATAAATTATCATGTACATAATTTGTAACTGGTACAACTGACTTGTCTTTTTCTTATTGATATTTAAGTGTTCTTTACACATTCTGAGTATGAGTTCATCTTGTACTGCAGATATCTTCTGCTTGGTTTTTGCCTTTTCACTATCTTAAAAGTTTCTGTTAAATCTCAGAAATGCTTCATTTCAGTGTTGTCAAATTAGCAAAGCTATTCCTTTATGATCCTTTAAGGAGCTCTGGTGGTGTAGTGCCTAAGGCATTTGACTGCTAACCAGAAGGTTGGTGGTTGAAACCCACCAGCCACTCCGTGGAAGGAAGACGGGGCAGTCTACTTCCTGTAAAGATTTACCACCTGAGAAACCCAAAGTGGGTCGCTGTGAGTCAGAATGAACTTGATGGCAATGACTTGGTTTTGGTTTTGGTTTTTTTTTCCGTTGGCATTCCTTTCTGATCAGTACTTTTGTGTCCTCTTGAAGTCTTTCCCTACCCTGAGATTATGAAAATAGTCCTGTATGTTAACTAATAGGAGACTTATTGTTTTACCTTTTACATTGAGATCTAGGATTGAGTTTTTGGTGTGGTTTAATGTACAGGTTAATTTTCATTTATTTATATGTGGATAAGCATAGTGGATAAAGCATCTGTCTGCTAACCAGAAGGCTGGCAGTTCAAACCCACCAGTCACTCCTTGGAAGGAAGGTTGGGCAATCCTACTTCCGTAGTGATACTGCCTCGGAAACCCAAGGAGGGGTCGCTATGAGTCGGGGCTGACTCGACGGCACATAACAACAACAACAACAAGAAGCAATTATCCAAGCGCCATTTTATTAAAAAGATTATCCTTCCCCACTGCTTTGTAGATCCAGCTTTTGTGTAAATCATGTGTCCATATATACATAGATCGAAGTGTGGGCTTTCTATTTTTGTTCTATTAGTCTGTGTCACATTGCTAAAGGGTCTTTGTAGGTATTCTTCATGAGGTTAAGGACATTCTTTTCTGTTCCTGTTTCATGAGTAAATGTTGCATTTTATGTGCTTTTACTGAGATATCTTTTTTTTTTCTTTTTTGTGTGTTAATGTGGTGAGTATACTAATTGGTTTTTCAAATCTTAAATGAGCTTTGCATTCCTGGAATTTCCCCAAAATTAATAGTTAGTACCTACGGCTGCAAAAAAGGTTGAACGTTCAAGTCCGTCCAGAGGTACCTTAGAAGAAAGGCCTGGCAGTCTCCTGAAAAATCAGCTGATGAAAACCCTGTGGAGCGCAGTTCTGTTCTCCTGTGACACACATGGGGTTCCTATGAGTCAGAATTGACTTAAAGATAACTATTAATTGTAATATAAAACTCACAAATTCACTGTCGTCAAGTCAATTCCGACTCATAACGACCCCCTTTGGGTTGCCAAGGTGGTAAATTTTATAGAAGTAGATTGCCCATCTTTGTCCCACAGAGTTGCTGGTGGATTTGAACCCCCAACCTTCTAGTTAGCAGTCAGATGCCTTAAGCACTACACCACCAGAGCTCGTTAATTGTGATATAGTACATTTTTTTCTGTGTGGCTGCATTTGGTTTGCTGATAGTTTATTTTGGGTTTTTGAATCTAGTTTCCTGAATGAGAGCATTCTGTAATTTTTCTTTTTTATAATGTCCTTGTCAGGGTTGGTTTTAAGGTTTTGCTAGATTCCTAAAGGAAGGTGGGAAATACTTCCTCTTTCTCTACTATCTGTAAGAGTTTGGGTGAGACTAACATTATTTCTTAGAATTCACTAGTGAAGGCATCTGAGCTAAAGTTTTGTTTTGTTTTGTTTTTAATAACAAATTCAATTTCTCCAACAGTTATTTCAAGACTGTTCATTTTCTAATTCTTGTAACCATTTTGGCTAGTTATCTTTTTATAGGAATATTTCCATTTCTTCCACATTTTCAGATATTTTGGGAGACGAGCGTTCATACTAATGTTTTATCTCTTCAGTGTCTGTTGAATATGTAGTAATGTCCTCTCTCCCCCTTTTTTTCTGTATGGCAAATATTTTTCTATACTTTTGTTTTCAACTTTTCTGTATCTCTTTGTTTTTTACATGTTGGTATATAAATAGCAGATGGCTTGATTTTGTTTATCACAGGTGACAATCTTCTTCTCTAAAGACAAAGCTAGTACATTTCCACTTAAAGTAATTAAATTTAAATCTGTATCAATTTTTTAAGGCCAATAATTCTTTAAACAACCATTTTTCAAGTTTAGAAAATAAACAGTTTATTAACATTTAGGAGTTTAGTTTCTCTGATATGTATATAAATATACAGAGACTTATGAAACCTTTTCATCTCCTATTATTTCTTTGACCACTATATAATGAATAGAGAACCAGGAATTAAAATACACTAAGGACAGTATTTCTAATGTGGTGTTTTGGGAATTTGGCTTGCAACTCTCTTATTATGATTTACCTGTCTAATGCCAATAAACAGTTCATTAACAACACATCTCTTAATATATCTCTTTTGCAAAATACTATAAAAATTTCATTTTTGATTACAGGGTTGTGACTCCCAGATGAGCATGTCAGAAATGTCCTGTAGTGAAAGTACATCCTCATGTCAATCTCTTGAACATGGCTCAGTTCCTGAAATCCTCATTGGCCTGCTTTATAATGCCACAACTGGAAGACTATCAGCAGAAGTGATAAAAGGCAGCCACTTCAAAAACTTGGCAGCAAACAGACCACCCAGTGAGTGATTTTTTTTTTTTTTTTTTTTTAACTTCTAATGTTTTCTGCACTTGTGGGACTCTGGGTATTAGGGACTTCAGTTCTATCATTTAGTGTGAACCAGTCAAAACGAAATACTGTAATAATCAGCTAATCTGTTTCATGTTTTCTAGTTCCAGTCATTTGGGAAGAAGAAAAAATTTAAAATTCAAAATATTAATTGTAAGGTGACAGGACTTTTAATTTTTCATAGTGACTTCAGAATAAATTGCTCCTATCTAGCCATCATACTCAAATGTTAGAAAAAGTTAACAGGGTTTTTAAAAAGTGAGTACTAGTCCACATTAATGGACTAGTGGATCGCTCTTAATAACTGAGGATTGATGCTGTGTTTTCTGTCTACATGTAGTACTATGAAGTTATATATTTACTTCTATATTCTCCTTTTTTCTCTTAACAATTTAAGAAGAAACTATTTCTTCACATTATTTTCTCCTTTAAAACTATAAACCAGTACTGCCAGCAGAGACTTCTAAAATGGAATATCCTTTGCCTTAGCCAGAAAAGGGCAAGGAACAGTTTGACTCTTACCCTGCATGCTAGGAAAGCAAAGCTAGATGATATACCCCTGCCCAGTCTGTCTAGCTCCTTTGATTTCTCCCAGCACAGGGGGGAATGACAAGTAGATTGTGGAAATACAGAGAAATTGTCACCCAATGTACCTACAAAACTGGTTGTTGATACCTATAAGATGGAAACTGGGAAAGTAGTAGCTTCTTTATACTTTTCTAAAGTTGTTAATACTGTAAACTAAAAATTTAAAAGGAAATCTTGACCAATACTGTCCCTTAAATTTGCTTAAAGATTTCTCAGACATGTGTCAAGCAATCTTTTAGTCCAAATATCAAATAATTACTGAAAGTGGGGAAACTTTTTCCATCCTTGAAATAAAATAACCCTACTTCTCCAAAAAACTAAAAACCAAACTCACTGCGGTGGAGTCAGATCCAACTCATAGCAACCTCTCCTTGGGTTTCCAAGGCGGTATTGCTACAGAAGTAGATTGCCCAACCTTCCTTCTGAGGAGTGGCTGGTGGATTTGAACCGACAGTCTTCTGGCTAGCAGTCAAATCCCTTAGGCACTACACCACCAAAGTGCCTACCCTACTTCTAAGTGTCCTAAAAATTCTGGATGTAAAGTGGTTTTTATTCAGTGAAGATAAAAAGTCATAAAAATATATTGGTTTGCCCCCAAGTAATACTGAAAACATTACTTCTTACATACGTCAGGGAATATGTCTATCCCTGAATTCAAAGCAGAAAGCTAAAATTATATTCATATTTCTATCTAATTCCTCTGAGTCTGTTTCTTTGAGTAAAAGTAAGTCATATCTCTCACAGGATTACTGTACAACTCTAATCAGATAAAGATTCGTAAAAGAAGCATGGAATTATTATGTCCCTAAAGTATCTGACCACTAACCAGAAGGTTGGTGGTTCAAACCCACCAGTTGTGGAAGCAAGACTGGGCAATCTACTTCCATAAAGATTTACCACCTCAGAAACCCAAAGGGGGTCGCTGTGAGTCAGAATCGACTCAACAGCAGTGGGTTTGGTTTTTTTGGCTTTTCTTATTTCAGAAGGAAAACTTCAGAGGGAGGAAAGAAGCAATTGCTGTAATAAACAGATTTCAAAGTGATATGATTCTCTTCACTTATACACAGTTAGAATGGGAACTCAAATGGCTTAGGAGGTAATTTCAATGAGCAAAATTTATAGACAAAAAATATGGAGCATAGTAAGGCCTGTGACAAACTCAAGAGTGTATATACCCTGCCCTAAGACATTTCGATTCAGACAATTTTGTACACTGTACCAGATAAAGAAAACATTATTTGTGGTCACATTTAGCCACAGGCTCTAACAGTTTGTCATTCTTGATCTAGCTAGAGTTTAATTTTTAAAACATAAATAAATATTTAACTGAACATGCTAAAACGTAGCAGAATGAAGTAACTGTTTGCCTTTCTGCCCCTACTCTAGCCACTCTGATAGAAAAAGAGAAACACTAATCAGAACTAAAATGGGGAGGGGAAGAGGCAGAGAATAAACAAGTAAAGGAAGAATACCTTGGCACAAGAATAGATAGTATTATCCTAAATACCCAAGGATTCACTGTTGTTGTTGTTGTTACACGCCGTCGAGTCAGACTCGACTCATAGCGACCCCTCCTTGGGTTGCTGAGGCAGTATCACTATGGAAGTGGATTGACCAACCGTCCTTCCCAGGAGTGGCTGGTGGATTCACTAAGTTGTGATAAAGAAAGAAGGCTTAGGGCATCCATAACATAGAGTGGATATTTTAGGTTCAAGAGTTGTTGTTGTTGTTGTTGTTGTTATGTGCCGTCGAGTCAGCCCTGACTCATAGTGACCCCTCCTTGGGTTTCCGAGGCAGTATCACTACGGAAGTAGGATTGCCCAACCTTCCTTCCGAGGAGTGGCTGGTGGATTTGAACCGCCAGTCTTCCGGTTAGCAGTCAAGTGCCTTAGCCACTATGCTACCAGAGCTATCACAATTACCATTATTTTAGAATTAGATTGTCTGTATCAGATGGTTAATGGTGTTGTCTAGGAAGTAATTAGTAAGTATACGTAAGTCAACACTAAAAATCATTATGAGAATGAAATATTTATAGAGTAAAATATAAGACAATCTTATCAATTGGTTCTAAACTGTATATATTACATAAGATTGTGACACTTCATCTACACCTAGATTGTTAGCTTTTGAACTTTGTTATAGACTGAGTAATCCAATTTTATCCAAAGAAACAATAACAAATGTTCAAGAGCAAAAATTATGAGTTATTTTACTTTATTTTAGATAATTTAATTTTATATTACATTGTGAGTAATAGAAGTATTTTAAATACTAAATATTATATTTGTTGTTGTTGTTATGTGCCGTCGAGTCAAACCCGACTCATAGCGACCCCTCCTTGGGTTTCCAAGGCAGTATCACTACAGAAGTAGGATTGCCCAACCTTCCTTCCGAGGAGTGGCTGATGGGTTTGAACCACCAGCCGTCTGGTTAGCAGGCAAGTGTCTTAGCCACTATGCTACCAGAGATCCTAAATATTATATAGATAAACTTAATTTTAGAATAATAATAATGACCCAATAATAACTTTTATTCAGTCTTTTATAGTCTGATAATTTGCATGATTCTATGTTCAGTATTCTTTAGACTAAGAGGAGATCTTAATAAAGATGTCTCCTTTTAAAAAGTGTAATTTTTGTTTAAGATTACACAATGACCTTAAAATTTTCTCATCCCATGAAATTTACCCAACAACCCTTTCGTTCAGCCCTCTGCCTGAATTAAAATGCTAAAGTTTTGTGTTCTGCCACTCCAGTGAACAGTGTTTCCTCTTGAATTCTAACCTTTGACCCTCTCTCACCCAACAATTGACATCTGGTCATTATTTCTTTTACTGCTTTCCACCCCCTGTTGTCAGATGGACTGTTCTGTTGTCTAAAACACTTGATAGGTGGACAGGTTTATATAATCCGAGGTGAGTTCCTGTAGAGGCTAATTGGATGTTGTCTTTTCATGCAAAACAAAATACCCTAAAACTTGCCAGCAGTGAAGCTGTCCACCATGTTGGTTTCCAAAAAATTGCACATTTATTATCTGTGGTACTTTAAATAAAACTAACTTAGAATTTATCTCTGATTATGGATGATGGTATTCAGAATATCTGTAAAACAAGCAAAACTTTTTAAAATATAAGTTTATATTTTTTCATTCATTATATTTTGGTTCATATATCAGAAATAAAGGAGCTATTTTATGAAAAATACTGCAGTTTTCTTTAGAATCAATTGAAATTTTGATACAAAGTACACATGATGGATCAACATGCTGAAGATCATTTGCATGAGTCTAAAAAATTGGAAAACACAATCTGTTTTAAAAAAAAAAAAGCTTATCTCCCAAATAATAAGACAATGAACTCTTACATTTCACTTTGTACACTAAGCATCACATCAATTTTTTTATAATTCATAAAATACTCGAGATATCATCCTTAAAACTTCACAGACCCTACAGAATTCATTTTAATTAGCCAAAAAGTACATTAAATGTCTATTGCATGAAACCAGGAGAAAGTTTTACTTGGTTTGCCAAATTTTGAGCCCTTAATGAATTTGGCTTCACTTGGGCCCTTAAATGTTTTAAAAACCACATCCATGCAGAGATTTTTTTGACATTTCATCCTAAGCTGTTTTGATGTCATCTTTGCATTCTTGTCTTCCTCTTTTCCTCTTCACCATTTGCCTTCATTTCTATTTGTTTGTTTATTCTTATTCTCTGAAAACACAGTGGAATGCTTTACAGTGTTGTGGCTAATTAAGCTTGCTAAGTGTTTATTAATGCTATGATGTCCTGCTTAGTGAAGCTAAATGGAAATGGGCAGGGGTGGTAGAGGGAGGTCAGCGATGGGGGTGGGAGGGTGGAGAAGGATTATGAGGTATACCTTTAAATTCTAACTGGAATGTAGAAATAGTGAGGTTAAGATATTATTACCCCCAAAATATTTTCTGGCTACTTAGCATTCTCTGTACTTATCATACTTTTTAAAATATCTACATTAAAATGGAATTGGTTGAATTTCCATTAAACATGGTATACACCATATCCTTATAAAATGCAAAAATACTTAACCTTCTTAGGAAATGTAAGAGAGTTGTTTTGAGTTTGTTTCAAATGATATTTGTGGTATATTGTTGTTTTCTCTTCTGTAGATACATATGTTAAGTTAACTCTACTGAATTCCATGGGCCAAGAGATGTCCAAATGCAAGACATCCATCCGCAGAGGGCAGCCAAATCCAGTATACAAGGAAACCTTTGTTTTTCAAGTGGCCCTATTTCAACTTTCTGATGTGACACTCATACTGTCTGTGTATAACAAACGCAGCATGAAAAGAAAAGAGATGATAGGCTGGATTTCTTTAGGTCTGAACAGCTCTGGAGAAGAGGAACTCAATCACTGGACTGAGATGAAAGAGTCCAAAGGACAGCAAGTCTGTAGATGGCATGCATTGTTAGAGTCGTGATGAATAGGATGAACAAGCATTCTCAGTCAAAGGCAGCATAATTCCTGATTGCTACATCACTGTTTTTATCTAGCTACCATTTGAAGACCTGTTCTGTGAAGAATCATGTTCAACATTCTACCAAAATGCTTTCAATTTTGTGGAAAGAGCATCTCATGCTTACATACATGAAGAAAAATGTGTCTCTGGTAGAGCTAGTTTGGGAAAAATGAGGAACTGGTATCATTGTTGTTAAAATAATAATCTTCCAGAGCTTCAATAACATGCTTTGGGTTTGAAGTTCATTTTACGTTAGTAGAGGAGCTAGTAATTTCATTAAAAATCAAAATTATAAGTGGATTAAAAAAATCATAATTTTAGTTGCAATACTATTTTAGTACACTCCACACCATCCATAGGAGCCCTGGTGGTGTAGTGCCTAAGGCACTTGACTGCTAACCAGGAGACTGGCGGTTCAAACCCACCAGCCACTCCTCGGAAGGAAGATCGGACAATCTACTTCCATAGTGATACTGCGTCAGAAACCCAAGGAGGGGTCGCTATGAGTCAGATCCAACTCGATGGCAGTGAGTTTGGTTTTGACACCCTCCATGAAGCATATTTGGACTGGCCAATGCCTGATGTTTATAATCTTCTTTAATATGAAAAAGTGGTTCCCCAGTCCTGTCATATGTCACAAGGGTTTCAAACACATTGAAAATTGTTTCAGATATTTCCCCTCCATCTTCTTAGTTTCATTGTGCCTCAGTTCTTCACCAGAGCACTAAATCTAAGTGCAAGTGAGTATTCATTTTCAAGAAGGATTTTTGTTTTTTTTTTGCATGTTATTCAAACGAAAAGGCCATCTGTTCATTTGCCTCTGCTTTTGCCTGATCCAAAGAGACCAAGTCTCTGTACTGATCCCTTGCAAGTCTTTTAGACAGGTTGTACTGTAGAACTATGTAACTTTCTGTGGAAAGCACTTCCTGTATTCTTGTATTCCAATGTAGGAAGCTAATAGAGCAGGACTTTACAATTTCTTTCAGTGACTGACTCTTTAAAATTGTGGTAATGTGAAAATAGGTTTTTTACAAACTGAAAAATACAGTAGCAAAGCTGCTGAAATTGAAAACTATTCAAGTTCAGGAAAATTTTAATTATCTGCTCTGAGTATTTTAGTAAGCAACACTGCAGAAAGCAGGTAGTATTCAAAATAAATTGTTCTCTCTAAATCTTCTTCACTATTACTTCAACCAGTTTATATTTGTGATATAAAGACTATCCAGTTCTCAGTTTGAATCAGAACATCATGGTAGAATCAGTTCTGAGAATCCTTCTGAAGTTTCTAGTGACTTGTGATTAGATTTTATGGAATTTACAGGTACGTTCTTCAACGTGATGTCATCCTGTGCCTTTCATGTAAGTTAAATTTGCTCATACAGCTTGAAAGTTGTATTTGCAAAATTAGGCCTTCGATTTTTATAAATGTAAAGATTCCTCAGAACAGTGTCACAGGATCTTTATTGCCTCAGAATTCTGTAGAAGTACTAATTTTTAAAATGGCAAGGCACTTTCATTTGTTGTTTTATATATTTAGGACCTCTGATTAATCAGGAATATTATAAGCTACTTTCTTTTTAATTTTGCTTCTTACCTAATGTATAATTTTATGCATATACTTTATTAGAATATTTTATATATATGAAGAATACTTTCTTTTTTCTCTTTCTCATTTCTAGTTAAACTAGATAAAAATATTCTATTTACCAATTATTAAAAAATAGTATACCATTTTTCCTAATCCCAACTAAGTACTATATATTATTCTAGACTAAAATTTGTTGTTACCAAATAAACAAAACCAGGCATAGATACTCACTTCAGTGTGGCTATACTGAAAGGCCTTAAAAAGAAATCCAAAAAGACAGTGATCTCCTAGTCTTTTTTTAATTTTAAAAATGGCAGCTCTACATATTCATACACATGAGTAATAAGAAAAAATACAAGTGCTACATTGGGCAACATGAAGTTTAAGAATGTGTGTCAGGGAGTTGCATTCAAGGGGAAAATCCATTCTTTCATTGTTACACCAGTGAGCTTTTTCCAGAGTCTTTTATGAAAGAGTTAGTTTATAGAGTTAGAACATTAATCAAAAGGCATAATGTCTCATTTAAGCACTTTTAGCAACAATATGGAACAAAACTGAAGGAGGATATGTACATTTTACTGAGTAATTGGATTTAGGCATTTGATGCTACAGGTATGTTTTCTGGCTTTGAGACACTGACTACATTGGTAACAACTGGGATCCACTTAATAAAAGGAATTATTAGTCCTTTTTGTAGCTGTAACAAAGCCTAATCAAACACGTTTAATAAGACCAGCTTGGTGCTTTCACCTTCAGTGAGAAAAATAATAATAATAATAATAACTAGATGTCATTTGTTAAACTACTTTTCTGCCTCTTACGCCCAGAACTGTGTGTGTGCTTTGTTATATCCTTAGGGTTTTATCTGATATAAGTATCAAATCCAGCATGACCTAAAAATTCATTAACAATTAAATTCAAGAAGGACCCTACCTCCACCCCAGCTGCCAAGTCCTCAATGATTATGAATTACCTATATATGTATGTGCATATGTGTGTATCAATATGCATATACACACATGTACACACACAACATATTTTTTAAAGACTTTTTTTTTTTAAGTGAAGATGCTCTGGCTTTTTCAGATAATCTTAGAAAAATGTTTCTCAAGGTTATAGATTATTTTTCTCCTCTGTATACTTACTAGGAATTGTATTTGATTTTGGGTGCTATCTGCTGCCATTCTCCTTCACACACAGCAAAATATACATCTTTTTATCCTGTGAATTGACACAACTTAGAGTAATTACTCCCCCAAAAAAATGTCTATTCTTTTAGAGAAGGATTAAATAGGGCTCAAGAGACCCACTTCACTCTACTGAATCTAATGTACAAAACAGTACAACCGCCTTTTTTGTGTGCTTGAATTTGCATGAAAGCTTAGAGGCAAAATCCTATATTTCAGTAATTATAGCAAATAGGGGCCCACTGGTGAGCAGCAGGTGTTGGCTCAGAAACTTGAGAAAGACAAATCCACTTTCTTATTGTTCTGTGAAAATCCCCTAAGTTTTATAATAAAATAGATAGTCCAAATATGGCAATTGATTGGTATTTATGTGAGCTCCTGAGCCTGCAATGACAGTCTGTTTGTCTCCTAGATGAGCTGCAAGATGTTACTGATTATTACTGCCCAGAAAACAAAGTATAATTCAACTCAATAAAGAATTTGTTTAGTATAATATTCCTCTCACCTTACAGAACCTTTCTTAAATAACCTTGTGTCTTCAACACTATCTACATTTTATGTGAAATTTATTTGCATATAGCCATTTAGTGAATCCTTAATAATGTATTTAGTGACAAAAATAATAAATTGGATCACAATTTTAAAAAGAAAAAACCAATGAGAAAATATCTAAACTACCCTGATTAATATGTTGTTGTTAGCTGCCATCTAGTCAGGCCTCGAGTCCTGGGAAGTCCAGCCACAACGGATCTGACTGTGGTGATCCATAGGATTTTCATAGATTGATTTTTTGGAAGGATAACCAGACCTTTCTTCCTAGTCTGTCTTGGGCTGGAAGCTCCCCTGACCCCTGTTCAGCATCACAGCAACACACAAGCCTCTGCTAACAGATGAGGGCTGGCTAGGCTTGATCTGCACAGGCTGGGAATCAAACCCCAGTCTCCCATATGGAAGGCGAGAATTCTGCGACTAAACCACCACTGCCCCCTGGATTAATAAGCACATGTTTAAATGTCGGGCCTTGTAGGCAGTTTGCTCCAGCGTAGTGCAGATGCCAAGGGTTATATAATAAATCGATGCTTTGATTACTATCCTTTTCATTTTGCTTATCAAGCGAATCAGAAATGACTGCAAAGTAAGACAGCATCAATAGGGAAAGAAGAAATAGAAGGGAGGGTGCTCTGCAAAATGAAGGTGGGTGAGGGCACCAAATGATATCATAGTCTTACAAGTGAAAGGAGACATAGGGAATTTGAAGGTGTAAATTTAGTTGGAGATAATCAAGGACATTAGGCACCAACAAATTTTTTTCGGGATCTATATCTGCATTAAGAATAGAAAAGAAAATTTTCTTTGCATAAAATTGTCATTTGCCTAGGTAAACTAGATAGCCAATTCATAAAGAATTTTCATGGTGATAGTTACTATTCATAAGTTCTTATTATTTTGTTCCTTTCACCATCCCTGCTTGACCCATAGTCTGCACTGGAGGTAGTTATCAGTATCACCCCACCAAGAACACTTATTATTGAACACAAGTGTATTTAAAGTATTATCTGCTCACCAAAATGTATAATAATGATAATGGTAACAGCCATCATTCACTAAGATTGAGCACATGAATGCATTGTTTTATTAATTCTCACAATAGTATGAAATATTATTAACATTTTGTAGAAGAAACCATAGTATAGAGATACTAAAGTGACTTGCCCACAGTTACCCAGTAAGTAGTAGAACTAAGATTAGAACACAGATATAAATTACTTTAAAACCCATACTTCTTACCACTCTATATATTGCAATTGATTCCTCTTTACATGTTTCAAGAAAAACAGTACATTCATTAATAATCCCACTCACCTTAAACAATATTGAAATAGCAGGGCTAGAAAAAAGAAGACAAAAAATAATAATAATAGTTCAGGAAAGAGAAATAAAAGATAAAGAAGATCAGAGATTGTCTTCCCCTCAGGGCACAAATTAAACTTCTGTGTCATGCTTTATAGATGACTTTGATTTTCAAAGGCTTGGGGGTTCATTTAATTAATTTATATTCTGATGGTATATTAATCAATTTGTTCTGACTTGACCAATTTATAAGTCCAGGACATTTTAATGTATATGACCACCTTTCTACCCTGAATGTTAGTCATCAGTGTCAAGAAGGAAGACTTGTTTTGCTG